ATGGATGGATGGATGGATGGATGGATGGATGGATGGATGGATGGATGGATGGATGGATCGATGGATCGATGGATCGATGGATCGATCATATGTCCACAGCATAATAACTTCCTATAAGAAGCAGCTCCCAAACAGAATAAGATTTAGCTTCCCCTAAAATAATATTCTTAATGTGTGGAAGAATATTTTTAGACTGTGTGGAATATGTGGAAGAAAATTTTTAAACACAATTAATGTGTTCAAGTTTGTGTACATTTATAAATTCTCTTTGACATGTCTGAAAACATATCAGAAAAAAAGTTTCTCAAACTAAAAGTTTTCTACACCAAGTTTGCCAAAAAATTTAACAAATATTCTATCACATGTATGATGTAACAGTAATGTTACATCATACATCTTAAAATTATAAAATCATACAATACATCATACAATTATAAAATAGGAAAAAAACAGCAATACATACCTGCAAGAAAACCTCCGACCTCCCAGACCCACCACTCAAAGCAGATCATAAAAGCACTTGGAATAGCCAGCTTCATGTAGGCGCCCCAGCCCTGCAGGCATTCAGTGGACCAGCCTGCAAAGGGTTTTAGTCAGAATCTTCGCACTAAGGTGCTTATGTGCATGATTCAACTAACCCAAATGAGCATCTGAAACACGTTTTAGTCTATCAGGAACCACCAAAATTAAACTTCAGTAAAAAATGTATTAAATAAGATTTTAAGAAACATACAGTTATAATTACACTTCACAGAATAATGTGAAAAACTGAACTTCAAAATTGACCAACAGACAGTAAAATTCTTACAAAGTGAGTTATTATAACTTGGAGGAAAAAACACTCAAGTTCTCAACTGGAGCACACAGATATGATGTTAACAATATATTTTTTTTCTAAGGTATCAAAGTGTGGAAAGAAACTACAAAGAAGCAGATCAGAAGTTTCTTGGGGTGTAGTATCAAGGTTTGATAATTGGGATTTGGTTGGGATGGTAATGCTTTCATTAGTCCAGTGTTTTCTGGAGTTCACAGCTGAAGCAGCATCTACCGGGAAAGTATTTCATTCATCCCTCCACTGACAAGCTTCATGGAGATGCTGACTTATACTGCTTAAATGATATAGGTATTGCTGTGCTGTATTGACAACAATTGGGCCTGATCTGAATATTAAAAATAATCTATAGGGTATTGTCTAAAGAAAGTCAAGCTGAAGCTGTCATTGAAGACAAGCGGAAGTCCTATATTAAAGCTGCAGTCTGTAACATTGAGGAGAGAGCAGACTTCGACTGAAAATTTGAAGAAAAACAGGTTTTACGTCACTCCCCCACCCTCTCTGCTTCACTCATGCCCACCTCCAAGCTCCACCCCTCTCACAGCATCTGCGCGGCTACCGCATGCGACCAGAAGGGGGGGGGGGGATTCAGCGTGTGTGAGCTGTGATTGACACTCCATCAGACGCTCCTCTGGCTGTGATTGGTTGTTTTGACTCGTCCCGAATTATTCTTTCCAGATTGAAATACAGGCAGTAGGCGGTACCAATTGAAGCAGTTTTTTTCAAAGGTTACATATCACATGTACTGCTGTCTGGGCATAGGGACAGTTTTAGCCAATATGACAAAAAAGTGATTTTTAAAAACTTACAGACTTCAGCTTTAATAACCCAGCAGAGCTGCAGGCCCATTACCTCCATACCATTTTAACTAACTTTTTTATTTTTATAGCTTTTTTTGTGTACCTGTATGATCTCATTATCTATATTCTTTTCCACTGACACTACTGAATTTTCTCCAGGTGAGACATCAAAAGCTTTTTTTTTTCCATCCCCATTTATCTACCATTGGGCGACGATGCTGTCATTTTTGGAAAGGAAGCTCTATTTACTACCAAATTAATTTGCTTTAGAGTAAATAGACATGGTTTAATATAGAATATTTCTGTTATAAAAGTTGTTTTTTACTATTTTTAAGTTGCAGTTATCAGGGTTAACAGACATAACCACAGTGTATCCTTCGGTGTGTTACAAATCCATATTTTTTACTTTTTAAATCATTTTGCTGCAGTTAAAAAAGAAATTCTGTGACATATGTATTTAAATAAAGATGTTGATCTCACCTCCCCATGTCTGTTGATGGAGCTTCTTCCACCAGATGTAGCCAAACAAGAGAAGGCAAATAATCATCTGAGAAAGGCTGTTAGCAACTGCTGATCCTCTGCAAGCATAAACACACAATAGAACAGTTTTTTTTCCTTGATATGATTTACAAGACACAATTAAAAACTGTAATTTTACAAGTATATCTCTACATAACCGTACAGAGGGAAACATACACCGTGTTTTTGCCAATAATGGACCAGTAAAAATCTTTCTATAGGCCCAGAGAGTTAGCAGGTGTCCCTGCTTGATATGGAGCAGAAGAGGAGGGGACAGACATGGACTGAACAGGAAGGCCTGATTGGTTAAGTTGCTGCTGAATCATATATTTGTCCAGCTGGAATCTGGAATGAGCTGTAACATTTCGTTCTTTTCTTACTTTGCCCGATTCTGACCTCTTCTCTCCAAATAAAGTTAAAAAATAATAAACCTTCGTGAACTGCTGACTCAGTCTAAACAAAAAAAAAACAACAAATTACTCTTCAAAGAAAAATTACGAAACAAAATGCTGAAAAGTGGGGTCTAATTTGCGTTTTTCTTCTTTCTGACTCATAAGCCTGTGATTTTTGATGACATGAATTATTATGAATTTTATATTTTCTGCATTTTTATACCTGATAACATAACAACCAATACAGCTCCTAAAAAATTTTAAGACCGGAAATGCCTGGCAGACTTACATTACACCCAGCTTGAGCACATTAATAAGGAGAAAATTGATCCCCAAGTTGAAAATGTTAGCCACTGCAGCTGTGTACATCTGAGGTAGAATGATCCCCTGAAACATAAATACACATTGAATTTATACTTAGAAAACCTGCTTTCTTATATTTCAGCAATAATGCATGGTTTAGCCTAGGACATCATAACAATTGGATAAACCAGGTTAGGGTGGACTTGACTACTGTGTATAATAACATGGACATAGATCGTATAATCTGCGTAAAAATGTGGTAACTAGTTATCATCACAAAACAAAGCAAACCAAAACAATAAGGAAAAAATAGAAAAACATGACAAAAACTGATTTGGAGAATAGAGATGACATTACTAAAGGTAGGTTAAAGGTAGTTTTTTTTTCTCAGAAGGTTTCCACAGACACTGTAAAGTTGAGACACAATGTGAAGGAACAGCCAATATGCCTTACATAAACCCACCTGGTTTTGTAGATAAGAAACCTGCAGTTGATGCAAAAACATTGCCTGTAACACAAAGAACAAAAGGTCAATGTTTGTACAACAAATCTTCTACAGGGTATATAATGTAAAAAAAAAATATTATTGTAATATCCATCAATCCATCTTCTCTAGGTTATTTCATCAGGGTTGAGCTACTAATTATAATAATGTTTATTAAAACAATAGTTTATCATAAGAATTTTTCCTTTTATATTTTTAATAAATTTGCAACAATCCAAGAATAAAGCTTTTTTTTAAACTGCTTTAATGGGGTGTTGAATTGCTGTTCTTAGGTTCAAAGCTAATGCACATTAGGCCTAATCCCAATGTTTTCCCTCATTAAAACCACTAGCCCCAACTCACTACTACAACACCTTCGAATTGAAGCCGTAACAGTTAGAACTTTGTTATCTTCCCTTGTAACTAGGACACCCCTCGCTGCATAGTTGACATTCGGGTACGTGAACGTATGCGTATTTCTGTATACACATATGTAAGATACATCCAATCATAAAAAAGGAGATAAAAAATTTTTTTTATGAAAATGGAGGACAGAGAAAACAATGTTGACAAAGATGGAGTAGAGAATGCTATGAATAGGTTTGTGGGTGGCTTTTTAAAAAGCCATTTTAATTTAGAATGAGTTTCACTTCTACCTACCAACCAGCCGCCACTACTCTGGCCCTCTCTGTACCCAGCAGGCTTCTCTGATCTACTGCTGTCCTCCTCCCAGGGAGCAGCATCCTCTGATCCACCTACGGTGCTCTGTTTGCGCAAGAGGCTACTTCTGCCTTCCTCTGCTCTCCATTGCACCAGCAAGCCCAAGCAGACTCAACCAATCCACCTGTCCAGCAAGCTTGTCCAATGTCCTCCTCAACGTTCCGCTGTAATTCCTTCGCTCCAGAGGGGGGCACGCCTGGCCGCCTCATCCTAGTTCTGGTGTTCTTTTTGACGGTACCCTCACACTGATTTCCCACTGCTCCTGCCTGAGCTACAGAACGCCATCTCACCTTGCCTCTGTTGCCCAGATGAAACTGATGAACCAAGGGATGCCAAGGCTAAAGGCTTTGTTTGGTTTTCAAAAGTAAAAAAAGAATGTGAGTCACTCTAGAATCCTCTGTCTTTTTTGGGAAATTGTCTCTGGTGCTTCCTCGGTAAGTCAACATATGAGATCACTCTAAATTGCTAAATTCATACCTCCTCCCCCTCATGTATGTGTTTGTGTCTGTGTGTGTGTGGTTGTGCGTCCCTGTGTTGACCTGCGACAGACTGTCCAGGGTGTACCCCACCTTTCGCCCATAGAATACTCGAGATACTTGCCCCACTGCAACCATGACGGAATAATTGGGACAAGATGGATGGACGGATGATTTGATTGATGTGCAAAGCTGATAGACATCCCCTAATGGTACTGCGCTATTGATTACAGCAAAATGTGGGTCCATTCAGAAAGTACTAAGACGGCATCTTAAAAATGCACATTTATAAGATATGTTTTTTTTCTTCAAAAAATTCTCCTCTGGTTATATTTATGAAAACACATCAAAGTTCAGAGTTTAATAAATGTGGTAATAGCTAACATATTCTGACATTGCTATCCATTGCAAATACAAGGTCTTCCAAAGTTGCCCCTTCTAGTAAAATTGGAGTGGATGAGTTTAGTTTTTTTGTACTCACTGGAACAGCAGGAAGAAAAATCATGATATACAGATGAGCAATTCTGAAATTGAAAAGGAAACTAATATTTTCACAAGATTTCATAAGCATGTAAAATACATGTAAAATTTCCATTCCCTGATCCTTTAGTGTCAACCATGTTTTCTAATCTCAGCCAACTACTGTCAAGTCAAATACTGTGTAGTCTTTAAATGTCTTTGTTATTTATATGGTCAGTACATTTCTGCAGTGCAAGTGCAATAATCCAAGTCAACTACTGTGTAGTCTTCCCTTAGCTCTCTACTGTGCAGATATTTTTATATCTAAAGGAAACATATTCCAGGACATTACAACTTTTTAATGCTTTTTTGTATTATATACACTCTTTTTATATTGTCGTATTTTTATCTCTAATGACATCTTGCTTTACTCTGCTATTTATACTCCATATAAGCTACTGGAACCAGAATTTCCCTGAAAAAGTAATCCCAAGGGATAAATAAAGTTGAGTCTAAGTCTACTTCTAATCTATGCTTTTTTGTATTTGTTGATATTACAAGTGTGGAAAAACAGCCATTGTCTTAAGAAGATGGAAATCTGTTCTTGGGGTCTTTTTATTTTTAATACACATGTAAAGGAACATAGAAAGCTAAAGAATAAAGCATGATCTCAAATTTCACAGTAAGTCTTATAGCATTTTCTATTACATTATTATTGTATATTTTCAATACTGTTTCATATATATATACTCTTCTTATTTTAAGACTGCATTAGAACTGTAGGATTTACCTGGCCACTTCTTGCTCTTGGTGGAGAAGGAGCAGTAGGTTGTGGGAGTTGACAAGGAGAGCCCAACAAAGCAAACAAAACAAAAGCAGAATTAGGATACTTTTCTGAAGGATAGCTCCCACACGTTTCATGTTCCCGCTGCCGTAAGTCTGCAAAAAGCAAATAAGGGACATCTTGAGATTTTTTTCAGACACACAGTCACTGCAGATAGAGAGCTTTGCTCACCTGAGAGATGAGGGTGTCGCAAGCCGTCGTAAGGCCATAGCCTGTAGCAGTTGTGGTCACACTGATAGTCTGATCATAAGAGAAAAAAGAAGTGACTTAGAATTAAATTATGAAGTGTTTCACATAAAATCCCACTTGTCTGCAATTATTTGATTTTGCTGTTATTATTCTAAAAGAAGTAGATTTGTTATCAAGTTTATAAAATCTGTTTCTGTTTAATATCAAATACTCAATGTGGCCAAATTGCTCCAAAAATAAACTTCAGTTTTTCTATCCTGTCATCCTCTACAGGTTAAGACACAGGACAAGAGCTGATTAGATCTTTCTGAAATAACTAAACAAATAAGTAATCACTCTGGCACTACTGAATTTTTTCAGCTTAAATTATATGCTACAAAAAGTTAGCTACAGTACAGACCAAAAGTTTGGACACACCTTCTCATTCAAAGAGATTTCTTTATTTTCATGGCTATAAGATTCACACTGAAAGCATCAAAACCAAGAATTAACACATGTGGAATTATATACTTAAACAAAAAAAGAGTGACTCAACTGAAAATATGTCCTATATTCCATGTTATTTGAAGTAGCCACCTTTTGCTTTGATTACTGCTTTGCACACTCTTGGCATTCTCCTGATGAGCTTCAAGAGGTAAACACCTGAAATGGTTTTCACTTCACAGCTGGCCCCTGTCAGGTTTAATAAGTAGGATTTCTTGCCTTATAAATGGGGTTGGGACCGTACGTTGTGTTGTGCAGAGATCAGGTGGATACACAGCTGATAATCCTACTGAATAGACTGTTAAAATTTGTATTATGGCAAGAAAAATGCTCCTAAGTAAAGAAAAATGAGTGGCCATCATTACTTTACGAAATTACGGTCAGTCAGTCTAAAAAATTGGCAAAACTTGAAAAAAAAAAGTGTACCCAAATGCAGTCTCAAAAACCATTAAGCACTACAAAGATATACTCTCCCACGAGGACCGCCTCAGGAAAGGAAGACCAAGAGTCATCTCTGCTGCGGAGGTAAGTTCATCCAAGTCACCAGCCTCAGAAATAGCAGGTTAACAGCAGCTCAGATTAGAGACCAGGTCAAGGCCACACAGAGTTCTAGCAGCAGATACAGCTCTAGAGCAACTGTTAAGAGGAGACTGTGTGAATCAGGCCTTCATGGTAAAATTGCTGCTAGGAAACAACTGCTAAGGACAGGCAACAAGCAGAAGAGACTTGCTTGGGCTTAAGAACACAATGAATGGACTTTAGACCAGTGGAAATCTGATGAGTCCAAATTTGAGATCTTTGGTTCCAACCATCGTGTCAACCATGGACTCTACATGCCTGGTTCCCATCATGAAGCATGGAGGAGGAGGTGTTATGAAGTGGGGGTGATTTGCTGGTGGCACTGTTGGGGATGTATTCAAAATTGAAGGCATAATAAACCAGCATCTTGCAGCAGCATGCAATTCCATCTGGTTTGCGTTTAGTTGGACCATCATTTATTTTTCAACAGGACAATGACCCCAAACACACCTCCAGGCTGTGTAAGGGCTATTGACCAAGGAGAGTGATAGAGTGCTGTGCCAGATGACCTGGCCTCCACAATCACCAGACCTGAACCCAAACGAGATGGTTTGGGGTGAGTAGGGCCTCAGAGTGAAGGCAAAAGGGCCAACAAGTGCTAAGCATTTTTGGGAAATCCTTCAAGACTGTTGGAAAAGCATTTCAGGTGACTACCTCTAGAAATTGAGCTTCTGCGTAGCAAGACGTAGATTAGTGAATAGTATTAATGACGTTCAGGTCGGTTGAATCCGACCTGGCTGTTCACACACAGGCCGCATTTGAAAAGATCAGATTCGTATGTATTCATACAGTATGTGAACGTAGCCTTAGGCTACGTTCACACTGCAGCCAGCCTGAAGTGACCCAAATCTGATTATTTTGCCCATATGCAACCTGGATGTGATCTTTTCATGGCTGTCTGAACAACAAAGATCCGATTTTTTCGAATCCGACCCAGGCCACTTGGCTATGTGGTCCTGAATCTGATACGAATCTGATCTTTTCAAATGTGACCTGTGTATGAAATGCCAGGTCGGATTCATCCGATCTGGACGTCATTAATACCCGACATAAGTCACTAATCTGCGGCAAGAAAAACAACAACAATGGCAGATGATGATGCGGAAAGCAGTATTTATGTTTAACCATATTGAAAAGATTGTGTTTTTATGGTTGGAAAAGACCGCTAGATCCTCGCCGCCACTACCATCCATGTTCATTTCCGTAAACATAGAGCGTGCTAGCCTGTGACGTCATTGCATCCTCTACTGCGCATGCGGGACACTTGCGTTGTATGACTGCAGATCACATACAAGTCGCATATATTTGGAAATATGAACAGCAACGCAAAAAAAAAAAAACGAATTTCACAAAAAAATCGGAATTGAGCATCAAGGCCTGCAGTGTGAACATAGCCTTAGTGTTACCACTGTCTAATGAGGCATCTTGTTGTTATACTAAAAGATGTGTTTAGATATAAATCACACTTTGTTAGTGTCTTACATGTGTAGCACAAAAGGGCACAAAAACAAAGTTAATGACTACTGATTTGTCTAAAACCTTTGGCAGTTTAGAGAGGAACATGCTGTATATTTACTGATAAACCAGGACGCATCTTGTTTGCTTTTAACTATTTTAATTTTTCACTTCCATTGTTGTTATTTCCAGGCATGTGTCAAGGATGCAGACCTTTTAAGGCAGTTGTTTCAAAGTCCAGCTCTTGCTTGCCCATATCCTGCAACTTTCTGATGAATCTTTGCTTTAACCCGCCTGAACCAAATATAAGGTAATTCACAGAGCAAAAGGTTGCAGATTCTCCTGGATTAGAGTTTAACAACAATGCTTTAAGGCATTTTAATGTTTCATGTAAGGCATGTTTAGCCACCGATACATCATATTTTATCGATTTGACACACAAACACTCAGACACGAGGAAACATATCAGTATTTGGGTCTTTACCTGGAAGCATGGGCACATAAACAACAGACATTAAACCGTAAACACATAATCTGCAGAAGCCCTGAAAGGTGTTTTTTTTTTTAAAAGAGAGGCTTCAGTTTCTTTTCAGTCACTAAAGCTAAAATGTAATTACTGGTAGTGTAAATAATTAGTGTTGCAAAGTGCTGCAATAAATACTTAAATCCCCTATCCTCCTCCTCATTTTATTACAATCAAATGAACAGAGAGTAAACATATTGAGATAAACTGACCAAACAAATCTACTGTCTTTTTCAGTTCTTATGCAGTTCAGTACAGGTTTACAAAATGATGATACTTGTCAAAGAAAGCCAGAAAAGGAAACAGATTTGATTAAATATTACATTTTATCCTTCATAAAGAAGAAAATGCATGTATTGTTAGCAATGTCTCATATAATAAAAGAAATGAAGAAGGATTTCCACTAAGTCAGTTTTTTTTTTATTATCTTTGAAGTATCAGCCTTCTTAGATCATTTGAGAAATAAACCTTTAGGCTGATTTAAAACAATTCTGCCAGCTCCAACCGTTTACAGGCAGGCAGAACTTCTTCACAACCTCTCACCTCTTTGCCAGTGGTGTGGTCTTTTTTTTTTTTTTTTTTTTTGTGTCCACATCAGCCTTAACCCCAATAGCCCCCCGGAGCTGCATAGTGGTATCCGTCACCAAAGTGTTAGCAGCTGACCCTTTCAGTGCATCGAATTATGAAAACGGGCTGTGGCAGATCAGAATTCTTTCTTGAGCATTTATGATCCACTGGATTGAGAATCTCTGCAGACTATTAAACCAGGCGTACACTGTGCGATTTTTTCAATTGTTGCACACAGCTACAGCTCACACTGTACGACGAAACCGCAGGGTTTCGTCGTACAGTGTGAGTTCACAGCCCATGATGTATGTTCTCACACTGAGCAGTCCAACCCTCTGATGCGATCTACCTGCTCACACTGTACACCATTAGTGAAGCATTTCAGCTTTGTTGCAGGATGCTTTATGTTCTGATAGGGAACCCTTAGGACAAATGTGTCTATGGTCTGACTTTGCTTCAATGCTCAAGTAGGTAGTATTCATCCAAGTAACTTTGCATCTGTAGGTTTGCTTCTTTACCAGCACCCCTCGTGACCCCACTCGGGACAAGCGTGTAGGAAAATGGATGGATGGATGGATGGTTTGCTTCTTTACATTATGTCTTCTTGTGTCACATGCTTTTTGGGTTGTTGGGCAATCTCGATGTTTTCTATCACCAAACCCAAAAAGAATATGAGGCTGACTATTTATTAAACTTTAGTGTTTTGGTAAAAACACAAAAAGAAAATAACATCCAAACTATAAAGACTTGATTCTTATAGTAGTAGTAGGAGGAGCTAGAAAGGGGTTGCATTTACACAATAACCCCCACGGGTCAGGAACACATCAATGCTTGCACGTGTAGTCCCTTTATGTCATACATTAAAACTTAAAAATCTTTTTAAGTTTTAATGAACAGGTCGAAGACAAAGCAAAGAAGACAAACACTGTTGCTTGAATTCCCCATTTTCAAAGATGCATTTAGTGATATGTAAAAATGAGCAGATTATATCTATTACCAGAAATGCACCCTGTGTTTGGGAAATTAAACATATCCTAATGATTCAAACCCCTTTCATAGTTTCTAATCTCCTAAAGCAGACTCGTGTTCACACAAACTTTATGGCATTGTTATTCATCAAAAGAACAATTTCTTACCGCTGAGGCGACGGCATATCCAGCCAGTTCTGCATTTCCAATGTGACCACAGAATATGGTGATAACAAACTGCAGGAGAAAGTTCAGAATCCGGGACAGTAGCTGTAGAAACATGGTTATACTAAATTATTTATTTCAATTAAACTCATCTGAGCAATAAGAGAAAGAGGTAAAAAAGCAGAGCTAAAAATTAGCAACTACATTGTTTCAAGCTTGGGCCTTTTTTTTATTATTACTGCAGAGGCAGAATATTTCAGAAATGATTGTGCTATTAAACTGGGCTATGGGCAGCACATTAAAGAGTAAATCTGCAACAAAGCAAAAAAGAGAATGAAAAATAACTTAAAGAAAAACATTTTGCAAATTTAAGATTTACCCCATAACCAACTCTTCAGCTTTGCACTACTCACCAGGGGTCCTGTGAGCCGTAAGACATGGTAAAGTTCTTCTCTGTAAGCCAGTGGCAGCCAGCGCTTTACACATGCACACCAAAACAGTTTGGAGCTGGCAAATTCTGCCCCCTTATCCACAGGAGGTACCTCCATCTTGGCATCATGAACCAGAGCAACGGGCTCTGCACCAGGCAAAGGGGGTGCAGGTTCCAGAGAGCCCGGCCTCTCCATTCAAGCAAAGGGAAAGAAGACAGGAGAGGGAAGAAAAGTTACAGAGCAACAGAGGGAGGGATAGAGGGCAATGGAAAGGAGGGGGCAGGAGTGTTGGTCTATGTGTGCTGAGAAACATAGCGCAGGCACTTTTTTCCAAGTTATTGACTAAATGGTTCTTGTTGAAGGAGTAATATAAAAAAATGAGTGAGTCAAAAGCAACAGGTTTAAAAGTTTCTGGGTTAACCAAAGTCATTACGGTTGATTACATATTTGTCTATTTTCCTGACAGGCAAACAAAAATTACTGACAAAAAGAGCCATATGAACTCTGTGCCAGCACTCTGGGTTTACACCACTGACAGAGAGGTCAAATCGGGGCCATCGAAGGTAGGTTATTGCTGGGGGACAACGAACAGTGGGTGAAGGTTTGATATGGATACACAGAGCCAGAGCAACAGCTTTGGTGTGTGGGTCTTTGTGTGACTGGTCTTCAAGCTCTCTGTAATAATCTGATGAGGAATGCCAGTTTATTGCTCGTTTGCAAGGAGCTCTAACAGCCGACAACTAAACCATGTTTATGTGGGTAGTTACACTTATTTTTTTTTTTTTTTTACACACGCATTAGGCACTGGTCTTATCATACTCTGAGCGTACTTTGGCCATCACCAGGATGTCTATGTCCTCCCTCCTCTGTAATTTCAACTCAAAGAAATGAACACATACGCACGCACAAACCTTCTCTTATCAGTGTTTGCTGCCTCAGCTCTGCAGCTTCATAGAAACATTTAAAGGTAACTTTACAAGACGCTCAGGGAATAGGTAAACAAGTTGATTCAATCACGGAAAGCTGATTTAGGCAGTTGCGAGTTTGGAAACATGTAGCAGAACACAGATAACAAATTGCACAAACAAAAGTCTATAGGAGTGTGTATATGTGTGTATATTCCGCTCCTGTCTTGGCATCAGGGCAAGGACATTTTTTACAATTTGGCCATTAAATTGAGAGCTGTTTGTATCAAAGGAGGGACATTTTGCTGCTCCTAACCTCCTATTTTGCTAACAATTAGGTGAAGGACTGAGGTGTGAATTGATTTTAGGTTAGTTTTAGGTTTAAGCAGGTAATCCTAATGTTTGGTGTAATTATCAGGGTTATAGCATAGGAGGGGTTAAAAAGGGTTGAAAATCAGCTGAAGTCATTAGGATTCAATACACGGTCCTCACTACATATAGCAAGATTAAAATGTTTGAGTTTACGTGAGTGTTTATGGGTGGCCATGTATTTTTGACCTGGTAGGGAAAATTTCTCGGAAATATGCTACATTTTGGGGACTTGTGAGGACCAATGACCGGTCGTCATGAGGAGAGGTTCTCTTTTTGGAGTGAAGTTAAGTTTACGGTTTGGTATGTAGAGGTAAAGGTTAGGGTTATGGTGAGGGTCTGGGTTAGACCATAGAAATGAATGCAATATGAATAGAAGTCAGTGAAAAGTCCCCTCAAAGATAGTGTGATTTTTCAACCTGTGTGTGTTTGAGCTCCTCTCTTGGCATCAGAGTGAGGACCATTTGTTTTTTCAATTTCACCATCAAATTGTGGACCGCCTATACCAAAGTGAGGATATCTTGCTGGTTCTCACTTCTTATTTTGCTAAAAGTCTGGTTTCAGACTAAATTGTTCATTAGAGTTAGAGTTAGATATGCACTGGTTCATGATAGGTTTTGGGTTATTGTCAGGGTTAGGGCATAGAAAGTGCTATACAGGACTTGAAATCAGTCCTTACTTTTAACAAAGGGATAGAGAAATGAGGTGAATGTTTACAGTATGTTAAGTATTTAGGACCGGTCTTGGTGTACTTACAAACCCTCTGAGGAACAACAGGTCATGTTGGAACAAAAGGCTGTTACCTATGTTTAATGTTAGAGAGTCAGTTTAGACGTATGGTGTTAATTAACTCTAGGTTAGGGTTAGTTGCTAATGTTTATTGTTAGATTAAATTTCAGGATTAGGCATGAATGCAGTAACCGATATGCATTTACTAAGGGGGGGGGATGGGTATTTGCATATCAGTACCTGCACAGTTTACAAGCAGGCCAGTTGCGCAACATAATAGAGAGAGCATTCATGCCTGTATGTGTTGAAATTGCAGGTGATCTTTGACCTTTGATGGACAAATAATGACTTCCTGAAAGGAGAAATGTAGAGTTTAGAATGTCTTAAGTAAACATGCAAACCACACAAAAAAATATATGAAGTGGCTATAGATTACATTCTCAGGTGCTTTGGGGCTTTTTTATGAAAATTATTTGAATAAATAGATAAAAATATTAAAGCTGGGAGGCCATTAAAACATCTTATTTTAAATAAAATGCAGAAAAATTCAGCTGGTGAAGTTTTGTTTAAGTTAGTTGTTTCTTATTCAAGAAACCAATATATATGTAATTCTTCTTTTTTGAGTTATTGGAAGAACCTCTTGAAAGCTGGCTGATGCCTCTCCCTAGTGGGTGAGCCAGAAAGACTGCAGGAAAGTATTAAAACAGCCCTCATAAAAGAACATTTTAGCCCTATGTTATGCAGGAGCGATAATGAAGAGAGATTGCAGTGTTTTACGATTATATACAACTCAAAATAACACATAACAGTCCAATAAAGCTAATTGCTCATGTTTGGTTTCCCTCCTGCATATCTTTTATGTCACAAATTTCAAAAAAGTTGTATTTTGAAATGAATTATGTAGAAAAAACATACAGTTTTTAATAATGTCTACCAACAAGGAGTCAGTAGAAAAAAGTGGATGAAGAAAACTAGAAAATAGCCTTAATAATTTCTAATGTTTCCATCCAATTTAATCTCTCTATTTTGTTAATGCAAAGCTTGACTTAAGGAAACTTAGTGACTTAGTTGTTTTATGAAGCTTAAACACTTGGCAGGATTTTCACTTCAGGCTCAGGCTTCCCACATATAATCATTAGCCAGCAATCTGATGGACGGACGCTGCTGTAAAGGTGTTGTTGGGTCGCCCCCCTGCTCCGCTCAGGCACTTTTTCTTTGCAACAATCCATTCAAAATACAAGAGAAACAGGTATGTTCACTTGGCTGTGCACCTTTGCAGTTTACATTAATTTCACTCCCAGCTGACTGATCATTTTCATAACAATTGGCTGTTCATAGATAAAAGAGAACAAAGTGCAAGCTCTCCCTCCTATAAGAATGAAGAAGAGGTTTGGAAGGAAAAATTGGAGAGAAAGTTATCTCAAAAGTTTAATCAGTTATAGTAATCGATAGTATGACACAACTTTCAAATGTTGACAAAGTAAATTTGATGTAAATTAGCTTGCAAATACACTTAATATTTTGTTTTGTTTCACTAAATTTTCACAGTAGGTGAAAGTGTATTTCAAATTCAACTTTATTGTCAACTACAATTTGCATGGTAATTGAGATTTCAGTTGTATTCGTTAGAATAAAATAAAATAAAACAGTATGGCATGATGCTAGTGAAATATGAAGGGTAACATTCTCTATCTCTAACAGTAGTGTTAACTTACTTATATACTATATATATATATATATATATATATATATATATATATATATATATATATAAATCTTAAATATGTACAGTTGTTGTTCTTTATTTTTTTACGTGTTCCTAGGTAAGAGAAAAATATTTATCTATTTCGATGGATGTAATTTTAATTGTAATTTGAAAATTGGCATGTATTTTGTTAGCTATATTAAAGTAGTCGTTTTCATGTGAAAAGGAACAAAAATTGTAGATAAGACTTTTAGATACTACTGATGGATTGCTTAACACATGTAGGGAAGTGGATTTAACTAAGTTAGATAGTGATATGATAGCCTATGCCACATAAACAGGAGAGGCTATCCACAAGGTTAAGATATTTTATGAAAAAAAAAATATACATATATATATATATATATACATTGATACAGAGATACAGAGAATTTCAGAGGAATTAATCCTGTTAAAATAAAATATATTCTTACAGACTTGAATAAGGACCTCACATGTGTGTATTCTTTTATAATGAAATGCTGCTCTGTTGTTGCTAGTTTGATTATGTTACTAAAGAATTCCCACACACCACCACAAAAATATTGTAAAATGTAAAACTTTAACAAAGACTCAACTTGACAACATTTAATACTGAGTGCTACCAGCGGATTTACGACATGACTGTATTATGCCAATAGTATCACATAGGCTGCTTTACAAAAGTATTCATTTCAGTGCAACTTGCAGTCCAACACTGGCACTGTATGGGACACAGAAAACATGCTACAATGCAAAAATTATCTAGAGGTAAGTCAACATTTCTTAAATCACGTAACGTAGGTAATTCAGATTATTCACTGTGTGAAATATGGTGTTGGCAATTTCATGATACAGGAACTATTTTCCTCTGCAGGGATGAGAAAGCTAGTTATGAATTTAAGACAATCATAAAACCTATAAGAGGCTGCAAAATATTTGAACTGCGTCACAGGCTCATATTTCACCAGGACAACTACCCTTGTTTTGCAGACAATAAATATCCATATGCTAAAATGCCCTGGTACATAGACAAGACCTAAAACTAATTAATAATGTGAAAAAGACTTTGAAATTGGCGTTAAAAGTTGCACCCTATCCAGTTTGACCAACCATTTATTTTATTTTTTTTGCCACACAGAATGTTTAAAAATGTTCTTTCAGTTTAAGAATAGGAAGTTATTCTGATTAAAAAGTATCAAGGTATGCTAAACTGGTAGATACCTCAAATGATTTACTGAGACCTTCTAAGCCTTATCAGCTATGGTGGGACTTGGTAGAGTTTGCCAACTTAGTTTCACAATAGCCTAACACACGAACCACTTTAAGTGTCTAGGTGTTGCATAATGCTATTTGCAACCTTTCATAGAACCACCAGTTTTTGCTTACAGCTAATAATTAAAGCTTAATAAAAAAAAAAATTAAATAAGTCAACAAACAAATATCCAATTATCAATCCTAAAACGTTTTGCTGTTATTCAAGAGCTTTAAAACACTTCCCTCAGAGTTTCTGTAGTGTAATTTTATTTCTATCAAAATTAAGAGAAAAACTAGTATTTAGTTATTGTGGGGGTTTTTTCAAAACTATTTACAGGGAATCCATGAGGAAAGGTTAAAGCACTAAAAACAGATATAAAAAGACTCTTGTAAAATTTAAAGTTTCAGCGCTCTATCCACACCCAAGGTTTTAGTGCGACTGTAATGACTATTGCCAATAAAAAGATTCCCTGTGTATGCACATTATGAGAACGTGACAATAAAAAGAGAAATGAAATAAAATCAAGGGTGGAAGGACTGACAGGGTGTTGACAGGAATGGGTAAATAAACCTGAAAGGAAAAAAAATATATTTTTGACCACAGGGGTTATAAAGTGTTGTAAATGGTATTTAAGAGCTGCTGTAGATTTAGAACGCCTTTCATATTCTCATGTTCACACTCTGACATAAGCAGGAAAGGCTCCGACAAGATAGAATTAGAAACAGGAACTTCAAGGTAAGTACATTTATTTTTACAAAAATCTTTCACAACAAAAGGATTGCAGATGTATTTAAGTCCTCTTTGTTTTATTTTACTATTTTTTTTACATTATTTAGTCAAGAAAGTTCTAATGTGATTACAAATTGCTTTTAAATAAGGTGCAATTAAACGAAGGATCTAACATATTACACAGTTCGGTTTTTTTGGTACTTCATAGTTTTCCATTTAAAACCAGGAAAAATATTAAATAAATCGCTTAAACTGAATATGTTTTTTAATTAACTCTATCTTTTTTTTTTTCTAATAGCAGTTCGTGTCTTTGTTTATTCCCCCAATATGCTTTAAAAGAATGAGTGAAGAAACCTTCATATAAAAAAAAGACTATGAAGATTTAGGTATTATTTTTACTATTAAAGTCTTTTTGTGCACATTTAGCCAATTTTAGATGCCCCGGGTTTAAACTTTATTATATTATTAACAAAAAAGAAAAAGGGTAAACAATTTTTTCCATTGGTTCAGGATCCAAACCCATACATTTATTTAATTGATTATCTTTCATTTTTTTCTTGGAGCTAGAGTCCATCTAAGATGTGATAAAGGAATTTCCTAGATCACTGCTTTTTACTATCTTCAGTGAAACTTAATACTTTCACACAAAAAAATGTCAGTTTTATGAATCAACTGAATTGAATTACTAAAGACATTTAAATAGCTTTCAATCAGAAGATTAAAAAAGATAATAATAATAATAAAGTGCTTAATTAAACAAATTATGTTATGTCTATTTAGGTTGGTTTTGTTAAAATCAGAGATGAAAATGTTCCGTCTTTTCAAGGTTGCTGATTATATCCCTAGTTTTTACAGACATATTATCTGATTAGAATAAATCAAATAAATATATAATAAATAAATTTGGTTTGGCAAATGGATTGACCAACCTTTAAAAAAAAATCATCACCAAACACCGGAAATTCTCACCCTCCTCCCAACAGGTCTTATCAAAGGGCCAAAGCCTATGTATAATAAACAATAAGTTTATTATTATCATCATTATAATGATTATTCTTCCTTTGTCCGGTTTATCTGAGAAGACAAAATGAAGCTGATGTTCAGTGTGGTTCTTCTCCTTCTGCTGTCCTGCTCTACCAGCCAAGCATCAGGTAAGCTCTACTGATCAGATTTTTTTGCTGCTTATTTCTTTCCTCTTCCCGCAGAGTTTGACTTTATTTTCAGCTTTTAATCCTCTCAAATCAGATGCTTCAACTTTAACCTTTTTTTGCTTTCCAAGATGTCAACATTACATCCATTCCACCACATGTTGACGGTGTAATTCAGACGGACTTTAAGGGGACAGTGAGCCTGACCTGTGCACTCAAAGATGGCCCTCACGAAGATAAAGAGTTGGTGTGGCTGAGGAATGGAGCTACGGTGAATCTGAATGATGGAAACAAGGAGAGCGTCAGCCATGTGTGCATCAAACCCATCTATGAAGACGATGAGGCTACTTTCACCTGTCACCTCAAGAGCAATGCCTCCAATGAGGTTACTGTTACCCTCAACGTCACATGTGAGTCTTTATAAAGGATGTTTACTGATACTAATGATAAGGATTGCTTTAAAATAACCACTGAAAGACATTTATAGGTTGAGATGATTTAAATGTGTGGGTTCATTCTGTGGTAAGACAAGATATTATATTGACAATGGCAATCTTTCAACTCTGCCTTTGTGCTACTGACATTTGGAGCTTAATGTCTTGAGTTTTTTCCTGTTTAGCATTGTTTTTTTTCACACAAACGTATTTATATTTAGTTATCTATTTTTTTTTTTACCTTTAATGAATAAGAAACTAACTTTATATCCATCATGCCTTTAGAAGAAAAACCTTTAATTTGGTCAATACATATCTAAATTTCATTTAGGTTTAACCCACCAAATCCACTTTTAGACTTTTCTTTGATAGATTGTTTTTTCTAAGAGCTATACTAGAACAAACGATAAAAACATAATGAGTTAAGTATTGGTTTTATGATCTGACCAAAAAAATTAGAAACATGACAAAATAAACTATCAAAGAGTGTGTCTATCATCTTTATCTGACTTTAATTCAACTACAATAACTCATTAAATTAAAGTCTGTTAGTTGATGTGTTTGAATAATTAAAATAATTTCAGGTAGTTGCTTTGATTCATTTAAGGCTGTTAGTTAAATAGCAAAGGCATGATCAACAATAAGGAGCTGCTGGTATATTGGAGTTCTGTAATGGCTCAGAAGGTAGGACCCAGAATTCAGGCAAGACGGACAATGGATTACATAAAAGGCATTTATTCAAACAAAGATAGAGTCTGCAGTGGCAATGGCAGCGGCTGCAGCAGCTAGAGTATTTAAAGCAGGAACGTCTATTGGAGAGGAACACAGGTTAGTGACTACCATAATCTGACAGAATATGATTATGAATAACCTCGTTAGACAGTTCAGAGAATGCGGATGACTCCAGCCGGTCAACTGAAAAGACGCAGCAGACGTTTCCAGGGAGTTCCAGACATGGTAACCAAGAAGGCTGCAGAGCTGACAGGAGATCAGATCCGAGCTTATAAAGGAAGACAGGATAATCCGTAGGGCAAAGTCAAGAGGCAGATCCAGGTTCAGTCAACAGAAGAATCCAACAGGAGTCCGAAGACAGGCAGGTAAACCGATCCGAAGGGGGCAGGCAGGCTCAAATGTCCAAATCCAGAAACGGATCAGAATCAGACAATCAGAACGCTAAAGTAACGCTAGAGAACTCTCAACACCAAAGGCTCAGGAATAATCTGGCACCGATAGCTTGGAAACAGGCAGCTTAAATACAAAAGTGGAACAGGGGGTATCTGATGAATGATGAGGGACAGGGCAGAGTTAGAGAGGTCAATGAAATAAGCAATCAAGCCAGCCATCAGCACCAAAATCATGACAGTGCAGATTAGAATGGTGGAAGGTGATTTAAATGTAAATAACAAATCTTTAAACAGATCCTAAAGCATACATACAACTGATAAAGAGAATTAATAATATTGTTGATATGTAAAGACCTTTTTATTACAGTTAAAAGTAATGCTGCTGCCTTTTGCACTGCCTGCAGGTGCCTGATGGATGCATCACTAACTCCAAAATAGAGTTAAAGTAATCCAGCCTCGATGTCACAAGTGCATTAATCACAGTTTCAAATAGCTGCCCTGATATGAATGGCTTTACTTAAGCTAGCTGTCTCAGATGAAAATAGAGTGACTTTAAAACCTCCTGGATCTGGATTTGAAGTTTAAGATCTGCAGCTAAATCCCAGATTCGTGACAATCAGCCAAACATATTATTATGTCAGGAAACTAACTCTATATTTAAGATATCAGATTTACCATTTAAAAGCACTACCTCTAAATTCTGATTGTTCAAACATTTTACATTTGAAGCCATCCAGGAATCTATATCAATAAAGCATTTAAATGTGTGTCTGATGAGAGCCCTTGGCTTGTTTAAGAGGGAGATTGATCTGGGAGTCATCCGCATAAACACCATGTCTCCTAAAAATAGAACTAAGGGGAAGAAGAGTGAGGGGCCTAAATCTGATCCCTGTAGGATTCCACACTAAAGAACAGCAGCAAAGAACATAACAGCACCAAGGCTGAAAGGGAAAGTTCTCTCTACTAACTGGAACAACTGCAATGCTGTCACCCAGACGCTGCTCCAAACAAGAAATGAAAATGTTACCGTAAACTGTGTCACAGGCAGCAGTTAAATCTAGGAGAACAATAATAAAACAGTCCACTGAGTCCCCGGGGGGATCCTCTGATGTCCCACTATGGTACCTTTATTCCAGAGGGTGTCTGTTTTGGGTCATCGTTACTGTATATATATTTTGTTTAATATATTTAGCATAATTTCATACTATTTTATTTTATTTTATTTTATTCTGACAAGCCAAAGCAGAGTTTAATTCTGCTTTAGCTTTAATCTTTTTACATATAATTTAAAAGGAACATCTGATTCATGATAGAATTATTTCAATTTTTTTTTTATAATATCAACATAATTCCATGTAGTCTCATCTGTCCAGGTGCATCATTTCAGAACATCTAGTCTTTATCTAAGTTCTCTCTGGAAAACTAGAGCCTACCCATAATGTTTTCCTTAAAGAGCTACATCTCTGATGAAAGTTAATGTAGAGATTGTAGAGGCAGGTAGTTTTAGCAGCAACACTTAAATGCTGCTGCATCAGCTTATTTGTACCATCTTGTGGTCTGCTTTTAGGGAGAACTTGGTGGAATGGCCACACCTATAATCGCAGTTTGTTGCATTTTAAAAACTAGGATATTAGAAAAACTTGTTGAAAAATAGTTGGGAAATTACTGCGTTAGAAAAGTTTTGTATGCAACTTTTGTGCCTCCTACAGTAACCAGATCTAGTTCTTTTTGTCAAGGTAAAATCACAAAAACACTTTTCTAAAAACAAAGATTTAATTGCTGCTCTTTCACAAGATAGAGTTTTCATCTTTGATTTCTACCTGTTATGACATTTCTGTATTAACTCATAAGCTTGCTATGAGTGAACTTCAGGATTCAGACTAGTCTAGAAGGGCTCTAAAATTAAAGAAGAGAGCAATTAAGTATCAATTTTATGTCAAAATATATACATGTTTAAAGAAGCCCAGTAAGTATCATTTTAGATTTTACAAACCTAACCCTTTTTCAAGTGTTTTACCTGTTTTTAAAAGGATTGTTTTCATGTAGAATGTTGATACCTATGGACCTCAGATGTAGATATATATTAACTAATACTTATTAGGTATGTGTGGGAAGTTTTTTTTTATATATATATATATATACTCCTTTTAAAGTTGATTTGTTTTGGGGGTTTTTTCATAATTAAATTATTTACATTTTTTATGACATTTTTTACCACGTTTCATATAAAGGACTCAAATGCAGAGAGGAACAGAAATTCAGTTGATTTTTTTCCATAACAGAACAATAGTAAAAAAGCCTTGCACAAGGAGGTGTGACTGGTAGTAATGGAAACACAGAGAACCTGGAGAAACAAAAAGCATGAGGTCAATGGAAGGAACCAATAATGACAGGAGATAACCTGTCATCCATATATGGAGAGTATGAGGAGAAGAAGCATGAGGAGCAGGTGAAAGTAACTAATCAATGAGAAACAGCTGAAGAGAATCAAGACAGGAGGCTGAAGGAGAGCGAGAATAATAAACATGGAACCTGTACAGAGAAACACTGGGAATAATCTTAAAAGAAATGTTAATGCAGAAGAGAAAAACATTGACCAAAGAAATAATTAACAAACTAAAAAGACAACAACTACATAACAAATCGGTAAGGAAATGGAAAAAAAAAAAAAGTGGAGAGATTATGGAAAATTCTTATCAGACTCCTATCAGGATCCTGTCTTTCATTTTAGATTATAAAGTCTTAATGCTTGTTTGTAAAGCGTTATCTGATTTTGAGAACTAGAAGTCCAAAAAACAGCAGATGAAAGAAAGGATGAGATAGATGGTAAATTGCGAAGAAAATATCGTTTTTATTTCAAAAATACAAGATTTGAACTTGTTTGATGCCCTTTTTAAAGCTCTAAATTGTTGTGAGTTTATGTGTACAAGATTTAGACTATATATAAATACATAATGGGATTTTATGTTCGTAAATATGGAAGAAGACAATGGAGAGGTTTCACACTTAACAGAAGAGCTTAAAGTGGCTTCTGGGCTTGAAATAGAGGAGACAGTAAACGGTGTATTGACATATGATTAGGAGGAGGTTGCATTTACCAGAATAAAAAAATAAATAAGTGTTATTTTATGGAGGGGAACTCTTCAGAAAAAAAGATCCCATGGATCACCCTCATTTTAAAATGTAGGTGGGCCAATCTGTCGAATGTTAGTAAAGCAGTGGCAGCAAAGTGCAGAAGAACCAGCACGTCTAACACAAACTTGCAAAACGTGCAAAATGACATAATGGACCACATGGTGCTTTTTGATGTTAAAGTAGTGACCACCAAATGCAAGAAGCCACTCTTCTCGGAAAACACACGTCTCCTGTGACAAATTCAACATCCTTGTGTGCCTCAGGCCACACTGACACTGCTTTAAGAATACTCCTAAAAAATAAGAGATTACATGAAAACAGGAAAGCTGATGTTTTCCCAGGTGTTCATTATCTGTATAATCAACTATTAGTTTAATATGCTGTTTTAAAAGGCATGGTTAGGAATTAGAGTTTGATGATGTAATAATGATGAATTTTTTTTTCTTTACACAATATTATAAGTTAATGTTCAGACACACAGAGTGATTTGTCTTTCTGTACACAAAGAGACAAATTAATATCTTATAATTGTAAATGTACAGAAATCCAGTTTAACTCTAAAATAAAATTTTGGCTTTTGTACTTATTTTTTTTTTATTCTGACAGCTTATTTGGTTCTAAGGCTAATGCAAACAATGTTAAAAAAAAAACAACACAAAAAAACATAATAGCAAAAATGCTGGGGTTTTTTTATAAAGAGAAATACATTGGAATTTTGTTTGGATTGTTTGTTTTACTTTTTTTGGTAGTAAAGAAATATAATCTGAGGATGTAGCATCTGAATGAACTTTAAAACCTAAGAATCATGAGGTCTTAGTTACTTCTCATTACTTTCGATATGACCGCTTACCTTAGTATTTCAAAGCTTAAAGAAAGCTTCAATAAACTGGAAGATATATTACCATAAGCTTTTAAATTGAAACTTTTACCGTCATTAAGTTTTCTAAATTTTTTTCTCAGATCACCCAGAACTCTCCGGTGAAGAGGCCGTTACAGTAGAAGAAGAGGCAGTGCTGCTCCTGGAATGTGACATGAGGGCCAACCCCGCCATCACGGCGGTGATGTGGAAACTAAATGGAAGCATGGTGGATCTAACAGCAGGTTTCACAGTCACCAATGATGGCATTACCAGCCAGCTAAATGTCAAAAAAGTGGAGAGAAGCCAGCATGAGGGGTTGTACCAATGCACGACATTATCTCCTATGTATGGAGATAAAAGCAAGACTTTCAAAGTCACTGTCACAGGTGTTTACTGAAGCTTTATTCAAATCTTTTCTGCTCTGAAATCTACATAAATAATGTCCCACTCACGTGGGTCTATGCTGATCTAATTTATTTCCTCTTTGTGCGCAGATAAGACCATGAAGTTCCCACTGATGCCGACGATAGCAGGTCTGGTGGTGGTGTTCTTCACTATGCTTCTTGCTGTAGTTTCACGGCGGAAGAAAATTGTAAAGGTGGGACACTTAGAACAAACTCAGATATTACTGATCAGATTATTACTGCACAGATATCTGAAGGGTCTCTCTCTCTCAACAGTGCTTCAAAAAGTAATCCAAAGGAACCTGGTCCTCAGATATTTCATCGAGTGAGACCAACCATGAAGGCATCGTTTCACTGTATAGTGCAAGAGGCATTGATTATCCTTTAATATGGTTTAGTTTCATATAATTTTGCATTTGGACCTTTACCAGAACCATATGCATAAGAAAAAAAAAATATTAAATTAAAATAATTATATTACTTTCTTGAGTCAGTGTTAGGTTGTGTTTTTACAATGTTTAGACAATACCATATGTGTTATTTAATTGCTGTTGTTTTTCTCCTCCATTCTAATGTTAAAATATACTTTAAAAATTTGACTGAATATAAAAGCTAACAGTTAAGGTATTATATTGGGCGATTTCAGAGCCAGTGCAATGAAACATTAAAATAAAATTACCGTAAGTAAAATGTTATCACGTAATAAATAAACCTATTGGTTGTTGCCAGAAAAAAAGAAGAAGCGAATAAAGTATTTCATGTTAAATGAAGTATAATGTAAACATAAAGTCAGGGGAAGAAAAAAAGGATTTAACTTTAATCCAGAAGGCAAAGTTTCAGTCTGATTAGAGCAGAAAGAATAAATGAAATTCAAAATAAAATAACATTTTAAGTCAAACTGTGGATTTCATAAAAAACATATAATTTTTTTTGCTTTTTCTCGTAAATATTAAACAATTTTAATGTAGGTATTTATATAAAATTCTCAACCTGAGTACAATCAAGACAGTTAGTCATCGCATAAACTATTAACTTTTTTCTTTCCATGGTAGAGAAATATTTTACAGATGTTAGTTAAAAATGTTTTACTTTAACCAGTTAGCCAAACTTTTAATTATAAAATGCTTTGAATTTGAGATATTTAAATAATTAAACTGAAATAAATGCAAATGTATAGCTCAATTATTTATATATGACTATATAAAATATATGTTTAATCAATCAGGTTCCTGTTTGCCCAACATTCTGATTGCTCAGGGTACTATTTTCTAGCAATAAAATATGCGATACCATCTTCAGGATTTAATTAAACAAGAATAATGGATTCTTATGTCATGTAAAACACTGTCTCGTAAATCCATTATTTTTAATCTCTGGTGTCGAAATCCCTCCTGACCTTTAGCTCCTGACTCAACAGTACAGCCCTGACTCGTTAAAATCATGTTATACATTTACTCTTAATGTGACAATAGGACGAGCATTATGAGGTTGCATGGTTCAAGGTCTGGATCTTTGTGTTCTTGCCCATGAAAAAAATTGTCAAGAAGGTTACATAAAACAAAGGAATGCTGAAGGTACGGCTCTGATGTCATCTATTTGTTGATCTAATAAACACAATTTGGACATTTGATTTGTGTTGAGACTTTTTTGTAAACACCAAACAATCTTTTTATTTTATGATCCAATAAAACGAGTTAAATAAGAAATCTCCTGTGGGAAGGTCTTAAGAGCTGCAGCCAGTGCCAAGATTTATGTTTAACAACAGCACACAAGTAAAGAAATTTAGCATTATGTGTACAAAGACCTTGGTAACAGATTTTTGCCCTCTGTCATATAACTGTTAATCACTCACCCTTAAAAGAATTTCACACAAAGTTTAAAATTGGTGCCTCCTGTTAACTTTCCCTTCATACCTGGCCATGGTAAAGTGATTGACATTCAGGTGTGAGCACAAAAACACATAAACAATCATCATAATACATTCAACAAATTACTTAAAAGAAATATAAACTCTTATGTATTTTTACACAAACCAACATGGCAGTTGTGAAAAAAGTTGCACTTTTATTAATTAAATGGATTCAAAAACTTCATGCGATTAAGGACTGTATACTTTTTTATTTCCTGGAAGGAGCACAATTAGAAATATTAGTTGGTTGTTTAATTCAACTTCTTTCAGGTAAAAAATACCTTATCAATCTGAAAGGTAAATTAAACATTGGTATAACATATGTTTATGGAAATGTAAGTTTCAGCTTAATGGATATTGTGACAAAAAAATTATTTAAGTTTCTCTTAAAAATTTATGTTCTGCATAGAATTGTTTTAAATAAAAACGATATGACCCGCAAGTAGGTAGCATTCTATTTGGTAGTTCAGGTTTACTGATTTAATGTAATTCACAGATAAAACTATTAATGAAGCATGTGTATTTCTTTCTCATCTTGCAAATCTGCTGCATCCGTCAATCTGCACCACATTCATTGACTATTCCTGTTATTTTCTTTTTATAAAACATTACATCTCTACCACTGGAACATTCAACTCCTAGAAAGGTTTTGTCTCATCACTCCAAACTCCAGAGAATGTTGTTGCTACTGATCTATGCCTCTGGAAGTGGGGAGTCGTTAGGGGCATTGTTGGCCTGGCTGACCAGGATGACCTGGATGATTGATAGTTTTTATACCAGTGTAAAACCTACATTAAATAGTTTACTTGTTATTTATCTCTAATGAAATGTAAGACTCCTGATAACTTAGAGAGAAACACAACTTTCAACCCCCGCTGACAACACAAAAAGTAGTTCTGAAAAGATAATGAATTCTGTACTTATCATCTTTAATGTTACTTTATTGATGTGAATCATTAACTCCTGTAGTTTTGTTGTCAGTCCACTATTGATATACAAAGCGATTAACATTTTAAATTAGTTATAACATTCCACTTGACAGTGTTACCGATTCCACATGGGATTATATGGTAGGGGTGGCCACAGGAGTGTCCAATGACTGGTTGAGGGTGGCCATGGCCACTTACATCCCTCCATCTAGATCAGCCCCTGCTCAGCTTTTACTGAGACTAACAGTATGTGCTCTGTTTCATCCCTTTTGACATGAAAAGCCATTTATGGAACTAATCTAACCGTTACCTTTCCTAACACAGGTCATTTTATTATTATTAATGAACCTCCAGTCGGTGAATTTAAGCCACCGGTTATTATTTTGGTTTGACAATGAAGTCATTCATACCTTAAAGGCAGGTGGTTTATCTTACACTTATGTTGATTTTGTTTTTGTTTGATTTTTATTTTAATCATTTTTGACATTTAGTGTGAAAGAAAGGAAAACCAAAAATATTTGTAAGAAGCAAAAAAAGTATTGCTCTTTCACATCTCCATTCTTTTTATTCATTGATAAGTTATATGCTTTGGTTTTTGTTTTTTTGTTTTTATAATATTATTATTTTTGTAATATTTGTATCTAGATATAAAGATAAAGTGGAATTTATTTTAATCAATATGAAAAGTAAAAAATATTTATAACAAAATATCAAGCAGACGTCACCATTTATGCGTGTTACGTCAACGTGTGTGTGCGTGCTGAGCGTAGTGACGTGAGTAGGACGCTGTTGTCCACCGCCAATTTCAAATTGGGAAAAAAAGGGGGAGAAAGGGAGAGCAGCTGTTAGTAAGGATAGAAGAACGACTCTCACAAGACTCCGTTTGAGGTGAGGTGTTTACACACACAGCGAAATACTTTTTGTTTTAATGGCTGTTTCCAAAAAGGCCGTGTTATCGGAGAAAGTCGAGTTCATGTTGATTTAGTGAGGGGGGGGGTTGGACGAGAAAAAGTTCAGGTCTTTGAAAAATGAAGACCTTGAAACAAACCCCTTGTCGTGATAAACATCTTTATTTAGTGTAGTTTGGCTGAGAAATATTAAACCGTTGTCATTTTTATAAGCAAAGAAGAGCGTTAACTGCATTATTCTTTGCGCTGGGGTGTTTGGAGAGTTAAGCAGGGAGGGGCAGCCTGGTCTGACCGCACATTTATTTAAACAACAAAAGAAACGCAGCTTCCCCTAAAATGATTATCTAAAGCTTGCTACGGCTCATATTTCATCTTTATATATATATATATATATAGTTTCTTGTACATACCTGAACCATTTATTCATACAATTCAAACAATCAACTGGAAATCTTGGCCTATTTATGTTGTATTTGCACACTGTTTAAATATATTTGGCTTTTTCTATTTGCTTGTTGGTGCTGCATTCAAGTACTACAGCACCGCTCCTTGCTCATCTCTAGCTGCACACTCCCAGTCAGCTGGCTGAATGAAGCGTAGCTCTATATTCCATTGTCTATTAGAAGGCTGAATCTTGCACTTTGGAATTATTTATAGTGTGGCATGTTTGTCAGTAAGGTGCAAGTTAGCCAGCAGAATGAAATTGATGCACAGATTTAGATTTTTTTCACTTTTGATTCTGATATTTGAATAGATCCAGATTAACATCATAATACACTGAATGCATCTGCCCCCATACATCTAGCCCATTTTTACCAATATTATATCTAGACTTTTCCTTAATATTGAGATGATAATGATATCGTATCTGTGTATCTTTAGCAGGAAACCAGTCTTTCCTTAAATACTGACCATTACACCGGCAGTTGGTTGATGCTCTTATTGACTGGAGGTTGTTGGAATTGGATGTTTGACATTAATTTGAACTAAACAAATTAAAAAAATATTATAATATTGAATGGGTTGATCAAAAAATCCAATCCATTATTACCCTATATGTTTGCCATCTTTATTCAGAGGCTAAACTGCAAAGATTAAGATTTTCGTTCCAGTTTGGGGATTTTATATATATATTTTTTATATAGATTTAGCATCAAAGGAAATAATTACTGTTCAATTTTTCATGTAAACTGTGATACTCTTGTCAATTAAAGATTGTACCATTTCTGTTAACACATGAACTCAAATATTGATCAGGAAAACAATTTTTCTTCAGGTTTTTCCACCATATTTTCCTTATTTTGATTTAGATCTCAAGCCAGTTCAGTCACAGATCATGGACGGGCTTGGAAAAGCTGTAGTTGGGGTCTGGCGAGCGCACACAGTCCTTGATGAATCAGACGGAGCAGAGAGTTCCCCAGAAGTCCCTGATCGTTTCCGTAAGATGCGCTCCTCTTCCTCCCTTGGCTCTCTGCGGATGTCTTTGCGGAAGCGACTGCCGCTGCGCTCAGTTCAGGCAAACTCCCTACCGGAAACTTCATCATCAGAATTTCAGCAGGAGCAGCCCAAACCTAACATGGCCCGGAAACTCTCCCGCAGTGCCAGGAACTCCATCAGCGGAATGTGTCAGGTGAATGTTTGCATCACAGATGGCTAGTCTGTCCTCATGTGATTGCTTTCTGATTATGCATGTGCCATGAAAATAAGTGGTTTTGTCTTGTTGCTTCAGAGGTTTCAAAGGACCAGAGAGTTTTCCCGTGAGGAGTGTTTGGTGGCCACCCCTGGTCGGGATGCAGAAATTGCAGGTGTGGCATCCTCTTGCACACCCCGGCGTACGCCTCGTCGAGCTGCCACACCCAGGCGCACCCCTAGATCTGCCGCCAGGTTCAACCGCACCCCAGGCTCCAGAGAACTGAGGACCCCTGAAGCCTCAGTACGCGGGGTTAAAGCGGGCAGAGGCAGGAGGCAGCTGGTCCGAATGGCTGCTCTGCGAAGTCCCTTTTCTTCCCCTAACACAGAGAACCAGAGAATGTGAGTTATATCTGACAGTTTGTGATTTTTCTTTTCGCTCTGTCTTTCTAACCTTTTTTACTGAGTGTTTGTTCTTTTATTGACGACTTTTAGAAAATTTGACGAGGATTTGGAGTCAGTTTCCAGGGGAATCAGAAGGCTCAAACATCTGTCCAAGGCTTTCGATGAGATCATTAAAAGGGAGGACAGGTAATTTTTTTTTTTTTTTTTTCATGTATGTTTTTTTTCTTTGGAAGTGATACAAAATATCACAATAATGTGATTAAGAACAGGTTACAGTATTTTGTAGCTGTTGTTCGATAAAGAAAATATCTGACTGTTTCCTTATCCTCATGGATAATTTGTCCTTCGCCTTAAATAAGAGCAGATTGTGGTTCTTTAGATTTCATCCACCCACCCAAGCACCCCCACCCCCCCCAACATTCTTCCCGCCCATGTTTTAAACTGTGTCTGTGTGTTTGGTATTCAGATAAGGGGGGTTGTGGGTGTGGGAAATAGGAGCCAGATGAAATGACAAAAATGCGCCTGCCTTTTCTCGTCACATCCTGTGTTTGCATTCAAAATCCAAAAGCAGCGCCAGAATGCTGACAATCAGACTCTCTGTTGAAGGCTGAGACTCGTATGATCAGTAACTTTGTGGGATAGATATCTGATGCTAGGGGTGATCCTCACTGCAAGGAAACATCTATTTAGAAGTTTGTTTTTCTACAGGGAGTTCAGACATCCCCTGATTGTGGAGTAGGACCAAAGGTAAAACGATTCCTGGAAATTAAAGAAACTTATACTTAATGTTACTAATTTCAGCATGAAAATGCATAACAGAGGCATGCTAAAGTATTACTGTCTTTACAAGCATTGCTTTAAAAATCTAACAATTCTAACAGTTTCAAGCAGAGGATGTTTTTCTTGTCAAATAGTTCCTTATTCTGAGTTTTATATTTTTGTGTTTCTCTATATGTAGTCGCACTCAAAGGTTTCAAATCAGCTGCTGTTTAAAGAGCCATCACAAAGTTTTCTAATGATTCTGCAACACTCTTCTGCTTGTTCTCGTACTTGAGAAGGGTCTCTTTTTTTTTCTTTTTTTTTTCCCCATCTTACCTGGAACTGAGCTGGACGCCGGTTGCTTCCGAGTGTTAGCCCGATTTTACATGGATTCGCTTGACGTCACAACAGTGCAGAAACATCCGTTGTTGTTCATGGCCCTGCCCCTTCTTATGACGTCAACATATGGTTACTCCACTCGGACAAACTGTATTGCACCCTTTTCTTAAGGATCGAATCTCTTTTGGAGCTTCAACATATTATTACCTATATTTGCTATTATTTTACATTTCATCGGTGATCTAAAGTAGTCAAAAGTAGAAAACAATAATTGTCAGGAGCTATTGATTGAGCTCTGCCATTTAACAAGGAAACTCAAAAAGTCTCCATTTATTTTTATTCTTTTAAGATGTGAGGGCAGAAGAGGACAAATGGAACAATCCTATAAATGACTTGCGTTGAGATTTTAGACAAAATAGTTATTCTACTTGTAGAAAACAAATGGATGTTGTTGACACAATTTAAACGTAGTGTAGCTTAATTTGGCTAACTGAGCGAGCTAAAAGGGGCTAACCTGTTAGCTACTGAGCACAGCTAGCTACAGCGCTACCCAGCTCTCCCCATTTATACTATGGTCTTGCAGTTACTTTGTTCATCATAAACAGTTTTTTTTTTTAAGTATTTTTAGCTATCAGGTAAAACTACTTCGGTCATTAGACACGCTAACGGACCCTACGTTCTTATTTTTTATCTTATTATATTGTATAGTTGGATGTGTGTATATATCATGTAAAACTGTAACTAGAGCGTGTAACAAAAGTAATTTCCCTCTGGGATTATTAAAGTATTTCTGATTCTGATTAACGTTGTCTGGGCAACCACTATGTTTTACATAATGTGGTAACTTTTAGCCAATCATGTAGCATAACGTCACTGGCATGCGCAGGACCAGAGTAGATCCGGTACCTACTCCATCCCAAAGTACATTCAATGAAAATAGGCTACAGGTTAATAGATGCACTGGAGCTAAACTACTGAGGTGTCAGTAGGGTCAAATAAAAAGGCTATTTTGAAGATGTTTTTAGAAGGAAAAAAAAAAACTATCTCTTCATATTCCTGATTCCGAAAGTCTTTCGTGCCATTATTTTACACGAAAGTAATTTCAGATTTTATAGTAGTTTTGTCATTCGAAGCTAGTTTTAAAAAGGATCTTTTACTGGAGGGAACTTTTTAAAGTGTTATTTTATTTTGGAGTGTTCAGCTCCACTTAACATTTTAAGCTCACCATAGCCATGAATGGCTAATCTTTCTTTCGTCCTATAATGATGCATTTGAATTTTGTTTTTGTTTTGTTTTTTAAGGCTGTGGCCGATTAATATGACAGTCTAAACGAGTGCTGTTTATTTTTTGTTAATGTTTTTCTTCTCGATTTACATGACAGAACTTATCATCTCGAGGCAGGGCTGCTGAATGTGCAAATGAATTGGCAAATGCATGCATGTATTGGCTGATAAAAGAAAAATGCTAATATTAGCCAAAATTATCAGCTGGCTGCCGTATCTGTCTCTAATTGGAACATTGTTTTATTTTAGAGTAGTATGGTCATCTTTAGTCATTGGGTGTGTATCATTTTGTTTGGACACGATGTCAAAATTATGTATATTAGCCAAAGTGTATTCATCCCATCTTAGTAGGAATAGTAGTACTCATTTAAACCAGTAAACTCTCCGGCCAGTACAAATCTACCTTTGAGTGTAGCTTGTAGAGCTCTAGTATAGTCTAAAACAGGCGTGGGCAGTTCCATATCCTAAAGGCTGGTATCGTGCAACTTTTAGATCCACCCTTGGTCCAACACACCTGAATTAAATGGCTGTTACCTCCTCAGCATGCAGTTAGTTCCTCCAGAGTCCTCTCAATCATCTTAATTACTTGATTCAGGTTTGTCAAACCAAAGGCACCTCCAAAAGTTGCAGGTTACCGGCCCTCAGGAACTGTAATTGCCCACCCCTGGAATAAAAGCATATTATAAGTCTGATTGATCATTTCCATTTAGTTCTCTAATAACAAAGCGCGCATGAGCAGACTGTGTCATCTCCTTACAGTCAGCTTTCAGTAGCTGACGGTAAACAACAATCGAAATTGTTTGTCGTATCCACTTCCCAAATCCGACTCTTGTCAAGTAAATTCACAAAAGGCTGCCTTCTTCGCCTGACTCTCCGCAAACGAGGAAATATCAAAACTAAAACCAAACACAAATTCCTGAATGTTATGGGTGCCGCCATTTTGATTTGCTTGATTCCCTCCTTCAATAGAGAGCAGTAGTACCATAGATCGTCACTTGGTGGTGAGGAACCGTGCTAATGTGTGCTTAATGTGTGGAACGGTTAACTGATCCAAGTTCGGTCCAAACTCGGGGCTTATGTCAGCTACTTCCTAATAATACAATTCAGGTCATTGATGAGCTTAAAGGTCTGTAATCAGCAGAACAGTGGGCTTCATGCAACAACATTTTTGTATTTTGACTTAGTTTGTCTCTTTTTCTCTTACTGTGGAGTTTTATAAACGTGTCGCAAGAGATTCAACAAGCATTCTTAACATGAGTAAATAATCCTCGTATACCTGCTCATTTACTGACTGTTCTTTCATTTGACGAGGTGACAACAAACAAATCCAGTGTCCCCTGGGTATCGACATGCCAGCTGCAGGTGTAGTGACCGATACTTCTGTAATCAGTAAATAAAAATGTCATTTGTAAATGACATCCCAGGAGATTTTGGAGTAGATGGAGTATTCCTACTGAACCTTCTGAATGCTGTACCTCAGATGTACATAACATTTTTAGAGAACCCATAACTCCCTTCTGAACAACAGAAGTTTAGTTTTTCAGGGCTGTTTCTAAATATGCGTTCTCTGTCGGGTTCCCGTGAAACATCATCAGCACCTGCACTGCTCCAGTTCACAAGAACACATGACCGAGAATGGACAAAGTCTCCGGATGTTGTTCTCGCCCTCCCTCTTTACCAAACATGCATCAGAGCAGACTCATACGTGCTCCAGACTGAAGGCGGTCCCGGCATGCACTGCGGCGGCAGCAGCAGCCTCCATGAACTCAGAGTATTAAGTTAAAAGTTCTCTTTTCTGTTGCTGTTCTTCTATAAAAGTACGTTTTAAGAATATTTTAGGCGAGGACATTACATATTATATAGCTTCACTATATGGCCCATTTACTGTTTTGGTGTGTAAATTAAAAATAAAGAAAAATTCAGGTGTTGTGAGTACAATGGCAACCAGCGGACCTCTGAGGCTAACCGCAGCCAGAGCTAACCTTAGCCCGACTGCAACAGCCCTCTTGGCATAGTCGTGTGTGTGAAGTTCTGCTACCTCTGAAGGCATTTTTGGGGGGTTATTTGGTAGAAAATGTATGATGGGTGTTTATTTGACTGTTAATGATTATTCATCCTATAGATTAAAAAAAGTAATGATTTATTATCTAGAGACTATTGACAACAGTAGGTGAGGTGCAGCTCCAGACCAGCTTTTAATAATGTGATGTCACGGGTACGCTTCTGTTCCAATTGACCCAGATTTATTCTGCATGCTCCCCTGGTCCATACTTTCCTATTTTCTTGTAAGGAACATAATTGGCAAGGACACGAGTCCATACACGCGTTCTTGTGAATTGAGAAATGAACCCGATGTTTGCATAAAACGACTTCATAAGGCTTCTGTATGGACATTTTAAAGCAATACTGACCAAAAGTTGTAATATATTAGCCTGATAAACAAGGCTAAATGCGAGGTTAAATGTGTGAATAGGTCTTGCCCTGAGGAATGAGACATCGGAAAATTGTTGATGAGAACAACCCGTTGTCTTTCAAACTATGTCTGTGCCTATTTGCCATTCCTCTGACCAATGAGCGCAACTGACTGTGACGTAGTAAGCGTGACAGAAAGCTAGTAAGGTAGTGTAAACGGCTTGTCGGTAAAACAGCGAATACGTCCTTCTTAAAATAAATTAGCGTAGAGCCTCTTCCTGCTCATGTTTCAACGAAAACCCCCAAGTCTAATCCTTCAAAAGCTGAGTCAAACGAGAACTGTTCAATAATTGTTGCCATCTTCCTTGTGCTTTCTCCAGCGTCGTGCAGCTTTGTCATTCCGTCCTCAAAACCCCGCCCACTTTGCATCCAGAAATTCATAACGCATCTCTGTGTTGTGATTGGCCCGCCAGTTCTAGGGCCTGGGGGCGTTGATCGAGGCTAGACCACTAGCAGGCAAAAATGATTTTGGCCGCTGGCGGGTGGGGCTATTTTACTAGGCTAGTAATATATTAAAATCTAGATATTTTTATTCTTTAGCTGAAGTTGTGTAAAGAAAAAGCCTGAAATGCCTGAAAGAAAAAGGTTGAAAATGGCTGACAATCAATGGGAGTCATCACATGGTCCTCAATACATTTAGCAAGATGAGAAGGTGTCTGTGTGGTTTTATCTACATAATATGAACTAAATATTTTCCTTCTTTAAACAGGCCTGCTTCAAGCGGCTGTCCTGGAGGGGCAGTGATGAGAAAGTTGGACCCAAATGGAAAACTCTGTCGGTCAAACCTCACACGTCGAGCATCACACCTCTCCAACACACTGGGAGGGTGGGCCAACACAGCTGTGAACACTATTCGGAAACCAAACTGAACTACATGAATGTGTGCTAAATACGGGACCTTTCTGTGGCCATGTTTTAAACCTATTATTGTGGCGTCACTGTTACATGTACTGAGCTTTTTTTATACATATAGCTGCTGCTTCGTTGTGTTCTCTGTATGTAGATTTATGTTTACATGTCTTGAATTTGATTGGTGGGGTTTGAACATCCCCATAGCAACCAAAAATGTTTCTGATGTGTGTGTCCACTGTTCCTGGTGAAACTATGTATTTTATGTGCTATTTTTCAAATAGGTCAAAGACATGATGCACTATATTCAGATTTTAGCTGCAATACTAACACTAAGTGTACTGAGAGGTCAGGGGGTTTGTCCTTTATATGTTAAATTCCTAACACTTTTACATTTTTTTAATAAATTAAACTTTATATTGTACTTTTTTTATATATAATAGGGGTCCTTTTTTATACAGCCTGGGTAGTATTTAGATGGGCACTTTCTAGTAGAGGTAGTTGCTTGCAATGGTCTGTGAATGATTCATGCACCAATAGAGTACACATAAATCATCAGATAATGTGATGGGGAGGAAGAGTTAAAGGCTCATTACCAGATGACGGCAGTGATGATGATGTTATGAAGAAAAATCCTGCAAGTTATTAGTGTAGTGAGGGGCACAAATGAAGCAAAACCTTTTTTTTTTTTTTTCCCCCTTTGCTGTGCTTCCTTTTTCTTCTTTTTTTTCTCCTACGGGAAAAAGAACGAGAAGTTGTTTCTAAATGGGGAAAGGGATTACAAAATAAAAAATGCAAGTCAACAATATGTCTTTTTGTTTTTGTTTCCAGTTATATTGAACTTCTGCTGAAGCCTTCAGCAATGTTTGTAAATTATTTTAATGTAACTGGTATTATTTGAAGCTGGTAAACTGGTTATTCCCAAAGAAGGAACACCCAAGCAGAAGCCTAGCTGTGATTTTTAACCAAAATACATAAATCCAGCTCTCGGCTAGATTCAATTCAGTTTATTTCTATAGCACCAATTCACAACACGTCTTCTCTAGTCACTTTACAGTTCACCAGATCAGACAGTCAAATTGATTCAAAGTTTTCTAAGGAAAACCAGTTGATTGCATTGACTCGAATGCAATCCCTCACATTAAGCATGCTTGTAGCGACAGTGGAGAGGAAAAACTCCCTTTTAAGGAAGAAACCTCCAGTAGAACTAGGCTCGGTGTGAGCGGCCATCTGCCGAGGCAGACTGGGGTTCAAGGAGACAGAAGCAGAGATACAAAAACCAGCTGTACACTTGGACCTCATAAACAAACATACTTTTGATAATCCAGGATGCCCAGGTATTGGACAGAGAAGGGGGGAGTTTCAACTCCCAAGCAGCTACAACTTGCTCTTGGAACTTATTTGAAAGAAGGTAAATGAGCGGTCTCATGATCCATATGGCCAAAGACTAAACTTATTAGAAAAAAACATGCTTCAGCGACACAGGAAATATATAGTTGGGTCATTGATTTGGCTTTGTACTTGGGAGAATGGGCCTTCAGGTCCTTGAATACATCAGTGCTTCAAAAACAGGTTGCTCTGGTACGAATCACCAAAATCGACAAAGAATCCTGGATTGGTGTTGAAGCGTTTACAGAAAAAAAAAGCATAAGTCTGGTTGTTTAAAATGTAAGCTTGTTTTTTGACTGCTTTCAGGTGCCAAGGTGGTAGTTAGTACATCAGAGATGAATCTTTGATTTTGAACCTCTGTTCTCTTTGCTTTTACAAGGAATCAAGTTCTAACATTTTCTCTAAAGAACAAAGGGCTTTGGTTTGGTTGTGTGATATGAAAAAAAAAAAAGAAAAGAAAGACTGTTAACTCAGTTATTAGCAACTTTCTACAAATAAACCCTTTCTCCGGTTAGATAGTTCAAGCCCACATTAGATGTTCAATCAATTGGAGATGTTAATAAACCCTTCCATTCGGCCATCTAGTCTGCAGCTCTTCCAGAGTCGCTGTTTTAGATGTATCTGTTGCCAGTGCTTTCTTTACCCAGCCTCCCAACTTCAGGAGAAAATACATGTATTTGTGTTGTACAGTGTTGATTTTTATATGATGGAATTAACATAGCTCTGATGTTGAACTTTTGGTATTTTTTATTTTAACTTTCCCCCTAGCCTGGTTTTATGTGTCCTTTGTCTTTATGATACTTTTTTGTTAACATATTTTCTAAACAATCCACAATTGAAAAAGACAAAAACTGTGTGAATACTTTTTTGGGAGCAGAGTTATGGACAATGTTCTAATTTGTCACCAGAAAACCACAAATCCAAAAAAGAAGGTTGATAGTCCTTGTGGGAGTGTTGATAATTGTTCTTTTTTTTTTTTTTTTTTTTTTTTTTGTAATTTATCCCCACCGAAAAGGATCGCGTGCAATAAATTGTTAACTATAAAAAAAAATCCAAAAATAATAGAGAAAAAACAAATGTGTAGCTATCTCAACAGTAGTTAGAATCAGATATTAAAGTTGACGCACTAGTGCCCTCATGTGGTGTATCCTGGTAATACCAGTGGAAAGAATAACCGCTCTTTTTGTCCCTCGATGGTACCCGTTAGGTTCCAGTTGCCCCGCCTCCGCCTCTCCGGCTTTGTACCCAGAGCTGAACACACGCTGCGGATAACTTCTCCAGGATACCGGGGCTGCACAACGTTTAAAAAATGGCTCTCCACGTCCCCAAACCTCCTGGCTTTTCCCAGATGTTAAAGGATGGCGCGAAGGTCAGATCAAATCGCCTCATAAAGTGATGGGAGGAACTGAAAAGAGGGTGACATGTTAGCATGCTAGCTAGAGCTAGCCATGAGTTAGCGTGTTCATTCAGAGTCATGTGGGAGACTTCTAGAAAGAGGCAGGCCGCTAGTGGTCCCACCGTCAAAATAACACTGAAATCCACCTCTTTACGTCATTATTTACTGGTTCCTGACCAACATATATGTAAATGTCTACGCTTTTGTGTTAATGCAGCAGTAATAACTGAATTAGAAGCTGCAGTCACACCCAGTTAGCCTTCTGTTAGCTGTCACCGCTGAGCCTGATGCTAGTAACTTTCAATGTCCGTTACATCCTGTTATCTGCTCATTTCTCCTCGTCTTTAGTTTATAAATAAAGACGGTATGTTCTTTGCAAGTTGTTTCACACCACAGAGTGGATTGCTCCTAATTTCTTACTGATTAGTCGTAATAAATAGTGAAATTAGTGTCTTTATCGTTTTCCATCCTCCAGGAAAACAAAAGTGCATATGTCGAATAATTTTCGTTTTTTTTTAAATAATTCAAAAATATTTTGAACCAAACAACTTTCTTCATTGATATTTTATTTAGTTCTATCATTTTCCACATCCCAGCCAAATAAAAAAATGGAATTCACCTTTTTCCCAGTAGAGGCTTTTAAATGGTGCTGAACAAATATCATTTGGATTAGTCTACTATTGAAAAAACAATTTAGTAATCAATTAATCGTAACATGAGTATAAAGACTAAAATATTCCTTTAACTGACAGAGCAACCCACTTCGAGCAGTAATTAAAAAAAAAAATTGCATTTTAAGATACAAAATCGTTATCATCTGTCTATATGCCTATGCAGTACTCCTCAAGTGGAAAAGTTTTTGTTTACCCTGGTTTACTTTTGTAAAAAATAATCTTTAAGAAACTTTTGGCCATCAAATTATTAATGGCTTAATCAACTAAAATAAGTGACCAATTAATCAATTTGCAAGATAATCATTAGTTGCAGCCCTAGATTTAATTTTAAATTAAATTTGTGATTCTTACATTTTTGTGGTTTAGATGATGAACAAAACACCACAATTCTATTGACCCCAGATCTAAAACTATACTTGGAAAAAATCTGTATTTGGTAGAACTCTATGACCTGTCAGTCTTAACGCTTTAAAATTTGAAGGGAAGTTCCAACAAATGAGCAAAACAACCTTTTTATTAAGCTGCTTATTCCTAGGCCAGATTCATATGTTTTTTTAATGATCTGTCAAACATGCCAATAATAAAACCCATCTAGTTCAAGTGTGTCAAATTTTTTGGGTAAAATGGTAAATAGCCATTTTGAAATTTACCATATCAAATGTTTTTTGGAAGAAAACAATTGCAGAAACCTCTTTGTAGATGTTAAAGTAAATATATTTTTATTCATAATTTTAAAGATTCCACTTCATTGTAAAAGGCACACTTTAAACAAAATGTTTTTTGTTTTGTTTTTTACCACTACAGCACTTTTCAGGACTTGAGGAGGCAGTCTTTCGTAACATCAGAGCATGTAAAGAACTTTCTCAGACCACGATGACTGCATATGGACCCAATGGTACACATTTTCCTTTAACAAGAGAACTCAATGAATGAGATTAACAACTCAGTTTTAACATTCAGTAAAAAGCATTGATTGAACTGACAATCTGATGTGTTTCAGGTATGAATAAAATGGTCATCAACCACCTGGAGAAGTTGTTTGTCACCAATGATGCAGCGACAATCCTCAGAGAGCTTGAGGTGAAGAATCTTTTCTAAACATCGTCTTCTATGTGCTGAAAATCAATTATTTCTAAATGTGGAAACATATTTGTCTCTTTCTTTTACAGGTGCAACACCCAGCAGCCAAAATGATAGTGATGGCGTCGCACATGCAGGAGCAGGAAGTCGGAGACGGCACCAACTTTGTGCTGGTCTTCGCTGGAGCTCTGCTGGAGCTGGCTGAAGAGCTGCTGAGGATGGGCCTGTCTGTGTCAGAGGTGATCACATGTAGCTGTTGAACATTTGGGGATCATGTGTTGGCATATCATCAAGAGGCTCTAAGAAACCTAAAGCTAATGATTAATGGAAATATATTTGCTTTAACTTATAGATATATGCAATTATCGGACTAAAGATTTCTTAAAAACAAATTTCATTTATGAATATTGAAGAAAATTTCTGCTGTTGTAAGTTTGTATAAAATCAATGCAGCAGAATCTGTCTTAATAACAATTTGAGTAACTTTTCATTCATTATTTTCTACTTGGTTCTTAGAGAACGTGTCTCTGTGTCACAAAGCCTCTACTTTACTTTATAGTGTTTGTGAAATCCTTTAATTTTTTTTTATTTCCAAGAAAAGGGACATTTATACCCCTGTAAAATTGAAAAGCATTGAGCCGTAACTACTGATATGAACAATCTGATCCCTTCATAAAGTGAAACATTTTTTAAAAAGCTTTAGATATAATAATTTAGTATGATTATTAAAGTTTACGCAATTATGCCACAAATTATATTGTATGAACCTTTTTCTTTTAATATGGGATTTTCAGTGAGAGATGATGATATGGTAATAAAAGTTAGATTTTTGAATTTATTTCCTTCTTCTCTTAGTTTAGATATGAATAAATGTGGCCATCTTTGTATATTTTCCCCAAAAAAGCACATGGATCTCTCCTCCCACCTAATCACCACACTTTTCCCTCTGATTCAGGTCATTGATGGTTATGAAAAAGCGTGTAAAAAAGCCCTGGAGATCCTGCCAGACTGCATATGCTCCTCTGCCAAAAACCTTCATGACGTTCAGGAGGCCACGGCTCTCATCCGTCCAGCAGTCATGAGCAAGCAGTATGGGAACGAAGACTTCCTCGCCACCCTCATCGCCCAGGCCTGTGGTGAGTTAGCAGCTCGGATCAGGGTCGTCTCATCTGTTGAAACTTGTTAATAACGAT